TCATCACTGTTCTTTAGTCTTCAAATGATAATTTTTCTGATTTCAAAACTTTTCATTCTACACAAGGAGTAGTCTTTGCAATCTCAATTTAAATGTAAAAAAGAGAAAATAAATGGAAAGGGTAAATGCGTAGGAACGCTGGCAACATCATCCTAGAGATTTAAAACTTCTTTCTTCCTTTTTTTTCTTTTTGCTACATATGAATTTTGAGTTTTGAACATTCATTATTAAGGTGCAGGTTGTTTATACCTAAATCCATATTTTAAGATTTAGAACTCATGTACATGTGTTTGCGCTTGGTCAAAGCTCGATCATCGCTATGTGTATACCGTTTTAGGTGATCTGGGCTACGTCGACAACGATGGCTACTTATTTATAGTCGATCGTTTGAAAGAGCTGATAAAAGTCAAAGGGTTTCAGGTAGCGCTTTTCTATTCCAGTGCTAGCATAAATTAAATGTAGCACTTAAGGTTGCCCCAGCTGAGCTGGAAGATCTTCTACTACGACATCCGTTGATCGATGATGCCGCTGTTATCGGGATTCGAAGTTCGGAAGGTTTTGAGCTTCCGAAAGCCTTCGTAGTTTGCGGCTCAAGTCACCTGACTGAAGAAGATGTGAAAACTTTTGTGAAAGGTAATGTTGGTAAACTTTTTTCGCCAAATAAGATTTGTAAGAAGAATTGTATTTCAATTACTGATTTCTTCTAGAGCGAGTATCACCGTACAAGCAGCTCACTGGAGGTGTTCATTTCATAAAAGAAATCCCAAAATCACCGGCTGGTAAAATATTGAGGCGAGTACTCCGCGAGCAATACCCTTCAGAACATTGATCTCATTACAATATGTGTACTTCTCAAATATTTCAATATATTCTGGAACAATAAATGTATAAAGTTTGAACTTACTTCATTTATATTTTAAAAATTTCGATTATTGTTTTTTTTACAGAAACTTCTAGAATTCTTTCGTAGAAAAACCTTAAAAAGAGTTTGCAAGTTAGGACAAGACAGGAATGATCGATTGTTGCTTTTTAAGTCGTTGTAAATTACTGTTGATAACGTTTGCTGATAATTGATGCAATATTAGAA